CCCCCCCCCCCCTATATTTATTCATGTGGACTGTGAACTCGTATTCATTAAATGAACAGAGAATGGTATTTTTGACTTTTTTTTTTTTTTAAAGAATGCTGTACTGTTATATACTTTTAAAAGAAATCATGGGCCCTGTCTGGTGTGGCTCAGCGGTTTGAGCATCAGCCCACGCACTGAAGGGTCTTGGGTTCAATTTCTGGTCAAGGCACATACCTGGGTTGCAGGTTTGATCCCCAGCCCCAGTCGGGGTGCAAGTGGGAGGCAACCAATCCATTCTCTCTCTCTCTCTCTCTCTCCCCCCCACCCCTTCCTTCCACTGTCTCTCAAAATCAATAGGAAAAATATCCTCCGGTGAGGATTAATAAAAAATAAAAAGAAATAATGGAATAATAACCATTTTTTAAATGTAAAATAATAATAATTTTTTACAAGTCCAATATTCAAACACCTGAGAACTCTTTCCCCGGCTTCCAGGCCTGATGAAGTTGGAGTGGGTAATGTTAGTGAGGTGGTCCCTACAGGCAGTGGACCTCTGTCAGGCCCGCCCTGCAGGCCACTGTTCTGTCAGGCTGCACATGGGTTCCGCTGTGCAGCATGTAGGTTTCTGGAAAGAGGCTGTGGACACAGAGCTTCGTGATACACATAGTCCAGCATCTCCTCCTCAGGCATCATTTCCCATTGGACAGAAGGTAAGAGGGTCCATTATGATTTCTGACTGGCATTTCATTATTTGTATATTAATATTTGGCATGGAGTGAGGTTAAAAATTCACAAGTGACCATTTAAAAAAGGCCTCTAAATCTAAAATTTGAACAGTTCTGCTTTCTGGGGAGGTAGTTAAACAGTGGTGCTCCTGATATCAAGATTACATTTTAAACCATGTTTATTGAATCTGTTCATCTCAGTTTATCATTTTGTTACAGATTGATGTTCTCAAAGCAGATCTGGAGAGTGCAGAATGGAAAGTTTTGGAAAATCTTATTCTGGAAGATGTCCTTGAACAGATTGGACAGCTCATCTTTGAGATCCATCTCCACTGGCCCGGGTTCGAGGTCAGCGGCAGCGACAGCAGTGTTGTACGGTTCTGGTACAGCCTCCTCAAAGAGTTAGAACTGAACGATTTCAGGCTTTTTCACAGTTACAAAGATTTATCTAAACCTCAGCTATTCCTGAAGAAAGACATTTTCAATGCAAGTAGCTGTTACACTCTCAGTTGGGTAAATACAAGGTGGAAATAGGATGCAGGGCCTCACAAGGACTCAAGGAGATATTTGCAGACTGGAGTACGTCCATGATTCTGTCGTTTTACTTGCGCAGCCTCCCTCTGGCCTGTTACCTGCTCGAGGCAGGCGTTGTTATTGCCTTCGTAGTGCATGAGCCTGGTGCCTCCACGCGGCAGGGGCGCAGTTAACACTGTTGGAGGGGTGGACACAGGAGTCAGCCTTCCTCCGCCCAGACCCAGACCCAGCGCTTTGCTGTCTGCCTCTGACCGAGCAGGATGCTTGTCTTCCTTCACCGTGATTTGGAAGATAATCCCCCACTTCAGTTTTCTCTAAAATTCATTATATAGCTATAGTCCATGAATTCACCAACATGAAAAAGAAAATTACATACATTTTCCATTTTTACTGGGTTGATGAGATTCTTCAGTGTGTAGCCTGCTGTTTAAAATAGGACTTTCCATTGACTGGAACTCACCTCTTTCAGGCTCTTCTTGCTCACCTCGTCAGTAACGTCCTTGACGCCTTGCAGATTTCAACCATTCCTCCTTGGCCTGTGCCCAGGCCACGCCATGGTTTTATAAGAACACCGATTCCAGTATCTGGGAACTGAGACACACCAGCTTCTGTCACTGAGTTTAAGACTAGGCCATCAAAAGTTGCAACTCAGCATTCTTTCCATAGCAGCCTTAAATCACCATCTGTTCCTATGAACTAAGCACAAAGCAGAATTTGAGTGTCTTATTGTTGCCTCTTTGGACTTCAGACCTGATTTCTCAACCACAGACTCACCTACACTGTCAGTTCATTTAAAAAAAAAATACATTATCTCAAGGATTAAGTGAGTTTTCTTTACTGCCAATTGGTATTTGGTTTAAGTCTGAGGTCTGAGGAACAGAGTCTCTTTCCTAGGATGGTTACATCATGTTTCAATAGCACCAATCCTTATTACTTTTTAAAAAACTATTAAGCAGAAAATGCAGGTTCTAAATAGTTCAAATCACCCTTTTCTATTTGCAGGATTAGACATTTACTCATGAATAATTTTCAAAAATCCTATTTCAAATAAATTAATTACATAGTATAAAATAAACCAAATTATCACTTTATTATGTTAAATATATTTTTCTGACACTTTTTATATCCTGACAGAGCAGGAAAACCATACATACATGTTTGTTCAAGAAATTTGAGGAGGGAATAGAATAATGATTACTACTAAATTTTGTTCCTGGTTTTTTATCTACTTCTACCCCAGACATTCCCTGGGTTGGCTTTTTATTTCTTGCAGTGGTTTGAAAATACCATTCCTCAAGTGAAAAACCAAAATATATTAGAGTTGGATGGTCTCACTAGCTTGGGTTGAAAAGAAACAAGACTTTCTGAATTAGTGATGATTTTAAAAAAGATAAATGAGGTTTCTATTTTAAAACCCATAGTACACTAATAAAAGTCATTGAGGTAGGAAGACCAGCTTGAATATGTGTGATTTGTAATAGCAGTTCAGTTGCTTTTATTGTCCACAGGAATTTCAGAAGTACAAAGGGTCCATAAAAACTCTGAAGTTATACTGTTGGTTTGCATGGCGTAGCCTCCAAATTTTAGTCCAGTTCCTGTTTGGATTATATCACAGATTCTCCTTTATTTTTTTCATAAAAATTTTATACACTGAAGCATATACAATAAACCTTTTTATACATTAAACTTTTAAACCTCCTTGTACACTAAAGTATGAAGGATACTGATCTTAAGTGTCCAGATATGTACACACCCATATCAAGATTTTTAATTCAAAGACTTATGCCATTGCTGAAAGCCCCCTTTGTACAGGGCAAGTTACCATTTATTCCAGATTGATGGCACAGGACATTGACTTCATTACACTACATATATATCTGAAACAAGAATGGGTGTACTGTTAAAAAAAAAAAGACAAACTCAAAATAAATCACACACCCACCCACTCACTCCCACCTACTAGGCAGCCTGTTCAATAGTTATTTGTACTTATTCTATGCTTATTTCTGAAGCCGTCCTTCACTCCCTTTATAGAGAGTTTGAAATTTATGATGAATTTTCTGATGTTGCTATGGTTTCCCTGCCTCTAGAATTTATTATGCTTATTTTATTGGCCAGGGTTTCTTAGCCTCAGCACTACTGCCGTTTCAGGCTAGATGACTCTTTGTAGGGGGAGGGAGGGCTGTTCTGTGCATTGTAGGATGTTTAACAGCATTTCTAGTCCCCCGCACTAGATGCCCGATGGTGCCAGATGTCCCCTAGGGGGCAGAATCCCCCACCATGGAGGACTGGGGTAGGCCATGAGAAACAGTCTAGGTTATCACAGCACTGGTGTTGGGGAGATCCTACTGATGAAGAGCAGGCAAAACCACCACAAAGAACACAAACAAAATACAAACAAACAAAATCCAGGGCTAGTATTTATTGAGCACTTACTATGTGCCCAGTACTGTCATAGATTATTCCTGATTTTCCCAACAACCATCCGAAGTGTAATTTTCCCAGTGACATGTACAGGTAAGGAAACTCCAAGAGGTTGAATAGTTTATTCAGATCATTCTACTAGTAGATGGTGGGGCAGGAATCCTCATCTCGGTCTGTCGGGTCCCCAAGCCCATGCTGGTCCCTCCACAATGCTGCCTCAACAGCCTCTAGCGAATGTAAGATGCTTCTTTGTAAGGATGTATTTTTGCCTTCCTTTTAGTAAATGGGGAAAAAGCTATAAATATATAAAGACTGGACCTGCAAATCTGTTTGAGTTGGAGTTATTTTTGTAGCATGCAGGTTTAATTCAAATAACCTACTTAAAATATGCCTGCCAAATGGAGGCTTACTGAAAAAATACGGGGGCCCAACAAATTCTCCGTCAATATATTCAAGTTACCAGAATATATTCTTACAAAGCCTTGGAAGTGACTCTTGGTCCCTGGCTCATCCCAAAACTTGGCACTTTCCTCCTGGGTTTTAGAAAGGGCACAGGCACTTGGAAGCGCATTGTGAGTTCCCTTTGTCAAACTAGTTTTCGATCTAGTTAAATGAGCCCCGATGTGAATATCTGTGACATAATGAATTCTTACTAGAGCAATGTTCATAAATGAATCTGAAAAAAACCCCCACAAATTTAATATGCTCTTATCCAACGATTAAAAAAATCCCTGTTCTTTTTCCAGGTGAAAAACATATGAGGATGTAAGATTTAGAGGTCACCTTTTAGCACAAACTCTGTTACAACCTGAGACTAAGGTCAAAGAAAAACAATTTTCCCTTTCCCCTTTCTTAGAGTGATTGCATTTGGTGAAGTTATTCTAGGTTATCATATAAATATTTGTAGCTGTTTGACATGCTCAAGTGAAGGGAGCCAGGGAGAAGTAAACAAACTTCCATTAGAATTGACTGACGGTCCATTAATATTTACATCAGGGTAGAGCGAAAGTAAATACATGAATTTACCGTGTTTAGTTCAGATCGGCTATTCATGTAAGCATTTCTGCCTTGGCTGTAAGAGTTTAGTACATAGTAAATACAGTACAAAATTTGCATTTCCTAAGTATTACCTGTTTGGATTTTGCAAAGCTTGGATTTATACCAGAAAACAAGCCTCATCATATTTTGCCGGGTTAAAAATTAAGGCCTCACTTAGACAGATTATTGTACTTGACAATACAATGGCAGCTCCAAACTCAATTAATATAATTGTTCTCTTCTTCTGGATATAAATCTGTGTTTGCCTTTTAAGCAATAACATAATTCTTTTGTATTAGCCAATTGCTGGCTTTTTGTGAATTCAATAAAACATTTAAACTTCTGCTAAAATGTCTTCCTTTTTCTTACATTGAAAGAGGTATTGGACCTTTACTTATCATATGATCATACCCCCCAAAATTCAGTATATTCTTAAACTGCCTAAATTTAGAAATTATTGAAGTTCTTTTAATAAAGTAACTGTATTTCTGTCCTTAAGAAAAATAAATGAGGCAGGGTTAATGTCTCACTTTATGTTAAGCACTGTATGGAAAAATGCTAGTTCTCAACACTTTAAAACCAATGCTTTGTAAAACTAGCAACTTCATATTATTGTACAAAAGACTTTGTGTTTTGTTTTTTTTAGTGAGTGGTTTTGTGCAGTAAGATGATCTAAAACAACAAGGGATTTTTTTTTCCTGTCAAGTTTGAATTCTAATCTAGACTATTCTAATAGAGGGGCCCAGTATAATAGGACAGACGTGCAATCGGTATGTACCTGGGAGCTATCGGGGTTGGTAAATGGCTGTGGTCCTGAGTCATTCTGCTCCACTGTAGTCCCCCCAGGACCCCCAGACCTCTCCAAGATCGAGCAGTTACTGCACAGCACCCTAGGCAGCTTCCAGGCCCTGCCCTAGCACAATGGTTGGCTTCTGTTCTAACTGCGCTTGGTCCTTTGTCACTGGTTGCTGGCTATTTTGAGATCACCCCTGGGTGGGTACATATGATGAACAGTCAAGGGGGTTCTATAACATTAATGGAGCCATAATTATGTTAATAAAAATAAGCTATTATCTGTACAAGACAATATTATTTCTCAAGGATTGATGTCAGGTCAAACATGGTTTCCTCAGGGACCCCCACCCCACTTAAGGCGCCCAGCTATGCGCCCGTGATGCCCTCTGGTCTCCCTGTCGCCACGCGCCTTGTGCTTGGATGTGTCTGCGTCCCTAATGTCTGTCCTTCCTTCCCAGCAGAGTGCGCCCCGCGAGGGTAAGGGCCGAGGCTGGGCTACACTGCCTGCCAGGTAGGAGGTGCTCAACAGATAATTGCTGAATGTGAGTAAAGAAAGCTTTTTCACATGGGATTTTTCGGTGAATTTATTTCATCAGCATTTGTTACTGAAAATTTTTTCTGGCATTAAAAGTACCTAGACACAATTTACCCTTTTCTTTCTTTCTTTTTAAAAAAATCCTCACCTGAGGATATTTTTTCCATTGCTTTTAGAGAGAGTAGAAGGGGGAGAGAGAGAGAGAGAGAGAGAGAGAAACATTGATGTGAGAGACACATCAATTGGTTGCCTCCGGCACATGCCTGCAATGGAGGTAGGTGCCCTTGACCCGATTCGAACCCGAGACCCTTCAGTCCGTGGGGCGACACTCCACTGAGCCAAACGGGCCAGGGCCAGTTTATGCTTTTCTTGGCAGGGTGGTTTATCGTGCTGCTGGTGTCCTCACTCCCGATTAGAGGACGCTCACCTGGAGGTCTTTCTTGGGGACTTGAGAGCTATGTAATAATTGCATTGAATAAATACAATAATAATTGAAGGCTCAAGTATTACTAGAAGATATCCTAGGATAGCAAACCTCAGTCTTCGCTTCTCAGTCCTCATTGTCCTTTCTTTGTACCAATTCCCTGAAAACAAACCTTTAGAGTCCGTGTATAGAACCACAATCCCCAGTAGCACAGACTGTTTTTCAGTTTATGAGAGAAGGAAGGTGTGATGGTGTGAGGCTACTCAGGACAACGGTAGGGACTGGGGTTTCCACAAAAGTGATTAAAACATGTTCAAGGAGTAAAAACAAGGTGAGAAGAAGTATTGTGTTCTCAAAACTATGAAGTGTGACTAAGGAATGAACTTGTGAGCAGTTTTGAGGAGGCGATGGGGCCCAGCTCTAATGGAAGAGGCCATGAGAATGGCTTTAGCTACAGGTGGTTTTGCTGAAGGAGGAAATAAACATGATCCAAATAGCTGAGTGTTTCTTTTAAACCAACTAAGTCAGAGAGACAGAAAGCTGGAAGCCACACAGATTATGACACCAACCTGACAGTTTAAAAAAATACAGTTAGTTGGCATTACATAGAGAAGGTGGGATAGTAGGATGAAAGGGGAGATTTCAGCGCTGCTGCTAACCAGCTGCAGGATATCAAGCACCACCTTTCTTGGCCTATTTCCTTTCTTAGGTCGGAATATTTAATTCCTAAGGTTTCTTCTAGCTTGAAAAATCTCATTATTCGAAGATTTTCATGATTAGAGAAAACTTAGCGGTAGGATAATTTCTTGATTAGTGTGCTATAAAGGGAAGTCTTAGGATAAATTCACAAGAATCCAAATGATGCGATTATTCAGAAGAAAAAGCTCAGATAAAAGATGAATCCATTGTGATGGCTCTCTAGTCATCAAGTGAAGTGCCTTCAGGAAAAGTACCTTTTTGGATAACACACTTCAACCCTCATGGTTCTAAAGACCAGAATGCTTCAGACTGCAAGTTTGTGTGTCTGTGTTTTTAGGCTGCCGTAACAAAGTGGCAATATCTGAAGGCACTAGATCAAATATATATATCTATAGCGATCCTTCCATATGTATGTGTGTGTATGCGTATGTGTATATTTATGTACATATATACACATATACATATAGGATATATATGTTACACATATACATACACATATATACATACATATGTGGCTGAATGCCAAAGAAAAATCTTCAGACACAATAAATTTAGAGGGAGCCTGTGTGTGTGTATATACTCACTACATAGATACATACATGTACATGTGTGTGTACATGTACATATATGTATCCACATATATATATGGCTAAATGCCTAATAAAGAAGAATCTTCAGACATGAAGAGCTCAGAGGGAGCCTAGAGTCAGAGAGGCAGACAGGCAAGTTGCAAGCAGTAGTCCCCGGAGTAAACCAGGGATGACCAGAGGCCTGGAGCCCTAGAGAGGAGGCCTGTATTGGGGGAAAGGATTGGGACTGAGTCACCTGCAGCAGTGAGGCCCTTGGAGGGCTACAACCTCAGTGGGAGAGGGTCCCTAGGTCTACTCCCCCAGCACAACGAAGCCTATTCTTGTTATAGTTCTGGGAGAAAAGTTTCTCTTGACAATATGGAACCTCTGGCCTGTTTAAGGACGTGAATTTAGACTAATCACATGATGAGGAAAAGCATAAGCTGAGAAATTAAGATAAACTGGTTCTGGGGGCGGTGATACCTCAGCGGTACGTGGCAGAAACCACTTTGAGACATTTCAACTCAGACTACAAAGTATTTCCTCGAAAGAACAAGACCCACTTCAGATGAACTCCTAATAAAAATGACAACTGACAAGGAAATGGCCCACAGTGGGGTAGAGGTAACGGACAGTAAACACTGGGACTTTCAGCCCAAGAATGTGAGACAGAATAACAATCATAAAGTATAATATACATTGTTTAAAATGTTAAAGGCATAAAAGACTATATAGAAACCATAAGAAAATAAGACATGCGAAGTACAGGTAGATATTAAAAATACAAATAAACCTTCCATAAGGGGAAACGTCATTGGAATGAGAAGTTTAATGGATTAAACAGATTAGACAGCTGAAGGGACTGTAAGTGAACTAGAAGCCAAACCTGAGGAAACTACCCAAAATGTAGCATAGACAAGTATGAATAGATTACTTACAAGAGATACCTTATGAATTGTTTGAATCTTAGAATGCCTTTCAAAAAATGAAGCAGTAAAGCTGAGCCAATGTGTGTAACAAGTTCTGCTAGAACTACACGTGCAATACGGCAGCCATTAGCCACATGCTGCTACTGAGCACTTAGATTTGGCTAGTTTGACTGAGAAATTGAATTTTAAAATGTTTTTATGGATTTTTTTTTTTTCTTTTGAGAGAGAGAGGAAGGGAGAGGGAGAAACATCTATATGAAAGATAAACATCGATTGGCTGCTTCTTGCACACCCTGTGACGGGGATTGAGCCTGAAACCCAGGCATGCGCCCTGACCCAGAATGGAACTGGGAACTTTTGGTGCATGGCCGATGCTCAACCACTGAACCACACCAGCCAGGGCCAGAAATTGAATTTTAAATATTTAAAATAATTTAATCCTTGATTCAATTATTAGAGAACTCTTAGGTATGTTTGTAACAACTTAGGCATATAAATATACTTTGTATGAAAGAGTGATGAAAACTTAGTGCCTGAACTGAGATGTGCTGTTATATGTAAAATATACACCAGATTTCAGACTTAGTATGAGAAAAGTAAAATATTAATTTTGAAAATTGAATGCTGAAATTTTAATGTTGTTATATAAAATGTATTATCAAAATTAATATCCCGTTTTTCTTAAACTATGGCCAGAAAATGAAAAATTACACACATGGCTCACATATTTTAGAGAGCACTTTACTAGAACATACGCTTACATAAAAGATGTTTGAGATTTGACTTAGTCATTCAGATCTCAAATGCTGAAAGTTGGAGAGGGGAATGGGAGCTAACTAATTCATTTGAAGGCAGCTACTGCAATTATAGGCAGCTGAACATGCAAAGGCGTTCTCTTTGTCACTAAAAATAAAGCCACTCTAAGGGCACTGGCTGCAAATCCTGACTTCTTTTCCCTTAAGTTCCAGATAATGTTGCAGTGTTTAGGTTGAGAAAGTTGTTCTATAATTATTAAAGTGACCATGAACATGGAAGGTGCATATATATGCAAAATGTATATACACATAAACATGCATCTATACATACCTGTACACACACATGTACATATTTGTTAGCTAAATTTCTCTGAGTTTACATGTACTAAACAGTGTAATTTCTGAAATACTTATAAACTCAGACTCTACTTCACTGACTCTTATCCTTAGTATTCATTGTATCCTCTGGAAACCTTGCTAGAACTGCCAACTTTGACCCAGTGAATGTATATTTTTAAAATCGTAAATCCTTTGTTAGTTTATTCATTTTATTTTCCCATTAAATAAAAATTGGTAACATGAAATTTGAGCCAAGTGCTTGATAGAACCTTCTTTCCATCAATTGGATCTTCTCCTCAGGTCCCTACTACTTGCCTTAACATTGTATTTAATCAATTGTATTATGATCTACTAAGAAAGATTGCGGCAATTAAACTATGACGCAGTGTTGATTTTAAGATAGAGCTCTATTGCAGAGATGTCAAGTGAAAATACGCATCTGTGATGAAACACAGCATCAGTGTTTCATAGGTCTCACTTTTGAACCCAAATTTTTATACTACCGATGGATATCTTGACCTAGATGGCACTCCAACACTTCCCTTCCCCATACCTGAATTCATATGGCTCCCCCAACTAACCTTGACTTTCTTCTGAATCAGTAGGTGACCCACTTAAAATCTGTAGGTGTTTCAGTAGGAAGCACCATCTCCAGGTGATTCTGACGCAGCTGGTTTCAGTCCGCACTCTGAGAAACTGTCCTTCAGGAAGAGCCTCTATGATCATTGCTGGTGCTGCAATCCTTACGGCTGCCACCAAGGGTTTGCGATTTCACTGCAAATGTTTTCTTTCAGGTAATTTACAGACATGCTAGGGACATCAGTCAGCCTCACAATGCATCCTTAAGAATTACTCTACACTCTTCTATTTAGAGAAGTGCCTGTTTGATGCTAGCTACTCCCTGTTTCTTATCTTAAAACTGTCTCCTTATTTAAAGACAAAATATCCCCAGCTTGTGCTTCAATATTTAAATATTCATCCCATTAAACCTTTCACTGAAGCATCACTTTTATTCTAACTTGTAGGAAGAAAATCTGTTCTGAGTGTGGCAAAAAGGATACACAGTAAGGAAAGGAGTCAGACGGTAACCACTTAATTCCAGTGACATGATCTTGAGACTTTTTATGCTGGAAGGAACCCCTTTCATTTGTGTACGCTAAGATGAGTGCAGCTGTGACTCAGCGTCACCACTGAGTGAATAAGTATGGAGCATGTTAAACTTAATATGTATGCTGAGGGCACTGCCCTGTATTTTTATTATTTAATCAGAATAAACCCATTAATATACCATACCTCTGAAGCAGCATTTTTCTCCATAAAATCAAAATGACCCATTAAAAATCTATAAATGGTTTAACTTGGTGTCTCAACAGAGTTAAGACTTAAAAGGAGACCAAGAATAAACATTTTGATAACACTTTTTACAAAAAAGGTTTTATTTAAAAATAGGATTTCTTTTTTTAAAAAAGGACAACTTTTATACACAGTTGCTTAGTTTAGAAACAGTCAAAAACACAATAAAATAAACCCGGGTTTAGAAATGATTTGTAACATACACAATACTGGTGCTGAACAAGATAGTTTAAATATACGATTCTTTTAGTGATTAATTCACATTTGTTAAACCCAGTGGTTGGGACTAAAGCAAAGGTCTTGTCTGAATTCTTTCCTCTTCAGGAAATGGCAGCCACCCTTCCTGGCAGACACAGGAACGGCAGCAGCTAGGCACATCTTCTCTCTGAGCGCTTCTGTGTCCAAAAATACGGCTCTTACCATTGTTATTGTTCTATTTTTGCCTTTGAAATTGACTTATGTGTGGCTCTAGCACCTGGTCATCTATACTAGGCTTTTTTTTTTTTTT